ATTCTCATCATTTTGATTTTTCTTTTCTACTTTCTGAATTCTGTTTCTCTTCTGTTTTTCTGAAGGCCTTTGCATGGTGGTCCAACCTGATGGTGGAGCACGCTGAGACCTTTCTGTGCCTTTACTCAGCTGACATGGATGCAGCCCTTGAAGTTCAGCCACCTGACAGCTGGGACAGTTTCCCCCTCTTCCAGCTTCTCAATGACTTCTTGAGAATAGACAGTGAGTGACAAATCAGAAAAAGAAAATACACTGTCTGGCCAAAACAAAAAGTGGCCACCTGGSTTTAACTAAGGTCTATGATGTGGGGTTCCTGCAGTTGGTCAGGTCTAGGTTCAGCAACAGTTTGTACTCAAAGAATGAGGTCAGCTGAGTACCTGAATATARTTAATGACCAGGTTTTTCCATCAGTGGATTGTTTCTTCCCTGATGGCACGGCCATATTTCAAGATAACAATGCCAGGATTCATCAGGCTCTTATTGTGAAAGAGTGGTTGAGGGAGCATGAGACATCATTTGCACGCATGGATTGGCTCCACAGAGTCCAGTGAGAATCTTTGGGATGAGCTGGAGAAGATCAGACTCTACCGTCATCAATGCAAGATCTTGGTGAAAAATGAATACAACACTGGATGGAAAAAAATCTTGTGACATTGCAGAAGCTTATCGAAACAATGCCACAATGCATACATGCCATACTCAGAGCTAAAGGCAATTCAACGGAATATTAGAGTATGACCTTTCTTTTGGTAGCAACTTTTTTTTTGGCCAGGCTGTGTATCTTGTCTGATAAAAAAAAACTTCCACTATGAATAAAGACCTAGTATTTCTTGAAGAAATGCAAATCACTAGCCACATTTTATGACAGAGTTTTAAATTAGGATCATCTTATGTTGACGAGTGATTACTGTTTTGCTCAATAACATTGTAATTAAGGGGGCGTAATAAGTACAGGCACATATTTCAGTTCTATACCACAATCAAATAACTATGTCAATTTTAGTTGTTCTGAAAATGTATATATCAAAAATAAATTTGACTATTCTGATCTGATCTAAATGCTTTGAAATTGGCCTGTCACTTTAAGAACCTTCTACCGTTTCTGAAACTCCCACTTCAGCATGTCTTCACAACAGGGCTTAAGGGGGAGGGAAATATTAAATGGACTGTTAGCTGATAGCACCTTTCTATCCAACCACAATAGTCAAAGCGCTTCACACAACAATCTGTGACCTCATTTACCCATTCACACAGCACTCTACTAGATCTCCCTGCAAAGCTATTACAGATAAATCAATGTATAGAGACTAATGAGGGCTTTAAATAACATCCATACACTGATGGGACACAGATCAGAGGCAGTGGGATTCAGTGACTTGCCCAGGGACTCTTCGACATGTGACCAAATAGTGGAAGAATCGAACTGCCAACTCTCATATTAGAGGACCCACTCTTCTAACCACTCAGCCCCAGCTGCCCTAGTGGTGCTCTGTGGGACGGAAGCTCAGCTAGGGACTAAGCTTCAGGGAGGAGCTATGTACAAACAGGAGATTCAAGGATTACTCAAATATGAATGACTTTGTCAAAACAACCCCCTGGGTATGATTTTGATGAGGGAATGACATAACATAATGTAATGCACAAAAAAGTTGATTTTGTGTAACCCCCCTGTTTTGATCT